ACCTTTTAAATATAATTCCTGATTAATATAATTATTGCTTATGTAACAAAGCATCCAAATAGTAATCAATTTTGAAATAAAATGGTTAAACAGTTTCTGTTGCCTATTATATGGATTAATAGGAATGACTGAGAGGTATGCAAGAGGAGTCGCACCGTATTTCAGAAGAATATCCTGAATAATTAGTATGTTATTAGGCACAAAACAAGGATTTGGGTCTACACGATGTTTTAAGAGAAAAATCACCTATTTCAATGCAGCATACCAGAAAAGATGATTCGACATATGATATAAAACTCCAGATAAACTGGATTGTGAATACATAGTAATTACATAAGTTCATATGTAGTATTCTATGTATCATTTTAAAGTAATAGAATCAAATTAAATGAGAATTCTAAGATGTGCTGTATATTTTGATTGTGATAGTCATTACACAATGTGCATCAAGTAATCACATTGTACACTTTAAATATATACACTCATTCTTGGTAAGTTAAATATTTTCATATTTAAAAAATAACCTTAAGAAGAGCCAAACTAACCCAAAATGTAGCTAATTTTTTCTAATAATTTTTATAACACAGATTTCTTTGAATGCATGATTGTATTTTATTGTGGTAAAAAAATTAAGATCAACTTGAAACTATTTTCTTTAAATTTATTTATTCTTTTTAGATATACATGACAGTAAAGTATATTTGACATATTATTCATAAATGGATTATAACTTATGCTAATTAGGATCTCATTCTTGTGGTTTTACATGAACACTTAACAAAAATTTAAGAGCACAATATTATTTAACCATAGGTACAATGTTCCACAACAGGTGTCCAGAGCATTGTCTTCTTGCCTTACCAAAGTTTTATACACTTTCCTCCATTTGCCTATTTGCCATTTCTCCAGCTATTGGCACTCACCATTCTACTCTCTTTTTCTATTAACCTGACTATTCTATGGACTTCATATAGAGGAATTGTGCAGTATTTTTCCTCTGTGATTTTTTTTACATAGAATAATGGTCTGAAGTTTTTTTTCATGTTGTCACATGTATCAGGATTTCCTTCTTTTATAGGCCAGTCATGTTCTGTTTCAAGTAATTTACTGCTTTTTCTTTATCCAATCATCCATCAATGAATATTAACATTGTTTCCATATATTTACTCTTCTATATAGTACTGAGAATTAATAAGAGAATGAAAATATCCCTTTAAAATCCTGATTTCAGTTCTTTTTAATGTATACCCAGCAATTCCACTTTTAATTTTCTGAGAAAGCTCCCTGTTTATCCCATCAATTGTACCATTTTTCATTCTCATCAACAGTGCACATGGATTCTACTTTTTTCCATATCCTTGCCAATATTTGTTATAATTTAATGTTTCAATCATAGCAATCTAAATAAATGTGAGGTGATATCTCACTGTGGTTTTGATTTTCATTTCCTTGAGAATTACTGAAGTTGAGTATCTTTTCTTTTAAAATTTGTTCTTTTTTAGTTATACATGACAGTATATTTGATATATTTTATCTTTTAATATATTCACTGGCCATTTTTATTTATTTTTTTGAGAAATGTCTATTCAAGTTTTTTTCTTTTTCTCTGTTTTTGTGTGTGTTTAATTTTTCTATTGTGTTGTAGGAGTTCTTAATATGTTTTAGATGTTAACCTCTTATCAGATTTATGATTTGCAAGTATTTTCCCCATTCCATAATCTAACTTTACACTATGTTGATAATTTCCTTTGCTGGGAAGAATCTTTTTTTTAGATTAACATGGTCTCACTTTTCTATTTTCACTTTTGTTACATGTAGTTTTGTGTGTCACATACAAATCCATTGTCAAGACAAGTGTCATTGTAGTATACTGATTTAAAATCCTTTGGATATATACTGAGGAGTGGGTAAATACGTAAACTTATGGCTCCATTTATAGTTTTATGTGGAATCTCAATACTGCTTTCTAAAGGGGTTACATCAACTTGCAGTTCCACCAACAATGTGAGTATTCTTTTCCCCCCATATCCTCATCAACATTTGTTGTTACTTGTATTGTTTGATAATTGCCATCATCAGTATACTACAGTGATGTGGCCCCATCAATTTTGATAACAGCAGAAGTTACAGTATAAAGCTATGGAACAAACCAAGAAGCTCCTCAACAGAAAAACAGATAAAGAAAATGTGGCACATATACACAATGGAATATTACTCAGTCATAAAGAAGAATGACTTTATGACATTTACCAGTAGATGGATGGATATGAAAACTATTATGCTAAATGAAATAAGCCAATCCTTAAAAAACAAAACCCAAATGTTTTTGCTGATATGTGGAAGCTAAACCACAATAAAGGAGGGTAGAGAAAGAAGAGAAGTTCAGCAGATTAGACAAAGGGGAAGGAAAGGAAGGGAGGAATATAGAAATAGGAAAGACATTAAAATAAATCAAATATTTTCATATTAAAATACCTAAGTGAATCCTACCATTGTATCCACCCACAAGAATTGGGCCCTAATTAGAATAAGATACATTCCATGCATGTATAATTTTAACAAAATGGATTCCAATGTCATGTTTAACTTAAAAGAACCAATGAAAAAATAACAGAATGATGTCATAAAGTTTTCCCAGGTGTTCTTCAGTAATTATATAATTTTAGGTCTTATGTATGAATCTTTAATCATAATATATTTTTTTGAGATGATTTTGTGCAAGGTATGAAGTGATAGTCCAAATTTATTGTGTGCAAGTGGTTATTGAGTTTTCTAAACACCATTGTGGAGACAATCCTTTCTTCTTTATGGTTCTTGGCACTCTACAAAGATCAGTTGACTGTATATGTTTGTACATTTATTTTTGTGCTCTTTATTCTGTCCATTGATATACACATTTTCTTTTATGCCAGTATGATGATGTTTCAATTATTGTAGCTTTGTAATTAAAGTACCTCTAGCATTTTCTTCTTTTTCAAGAATACTTTGGCTCCATATGAATTTCTGGTTGTTTTTCTATTTATATAAAAATGCCATTGCAATTTTGACTGGGACTGAATTGAATCTATAGCTCTCTTTGGATAGTATAGCCATTTTTTTTTCCTACTGGGGCTTGAACCTACAGGTGTTTTACTACTGAGCTACATCACTTTTTTTTTAAATTTTTGAACCATGGCTTTGCCATGCCCAATATACCCCTGAATTTTTGATGCTGTAGCCTCAGAATACTAGTAGCTAGTAATCTACCCAAATTGCAATGACTCCAAATTTCTGGTAAGCCTAGAGAGAAAGTTATTTTGAAAATATGTATTTTAGGGACCTAATTTTATAATCTTAGAGAAAATATGGATGATTAAATTTGAATACAGAAAACATTTAGATGGTCACACAAACAAATGAAAATATTTATTTGTTTCAATGCTGAGTTTATTGAAAAGATTCTTTGCATTTCTAATTCTAATATAGCATTTAAAATAAAGTAATATTTTAAATGAGGAAAAAATAAAAACCAGACCAGAGTTTTAATCAATTGATACTCAGGCATGTAATGAAATATGCTTATTTTTATTATTTTGATTTTGCTTTTTGTGGTACTGGGGATAAAACACAGAGCTTTATATGTATTATGCAAGTACTCTACCACTGAGCAACACTACTGGCCCTGACAAGATGTTTATAAAAACTTGTGTAAAATGCAATAAAGTAACCAGATGTTCACAAGTGTTTTCCCATGTAGGTCACTGTGTTCATGTTATAAGATCAGTTTTATTATTCTATATGTATAATATTTGTTTCATATTTGCCTTTTTTCATATAGTCTGTGTCCTAGAATAGACTTTTATTTACTATGTGTCATAGAACCCTAGAAAGCCAGCACAAGAACACAATAAAGAAAACAACTAAATTTTTGAGTAAGCAATAAGTCTGAATAAATGTCATCGCTCCCCAAATGTACAATTTAATAGAAACTGTAAAATGTAAAAAATGGAGCAGCACCTAAATTTAACCTAAATTTAGAATTCTAAGAACTTCTTAGGAAAACATACATTAAGGTAGCGTCCTTTTCTTGGATTCTTTTTTCCCCAGGACCTTTTCCAGTATAAGAGTACTGATAAATGGTTTTGTTTGGGTTTTCTTTGGTGGTGGAGGGAACTGAGCATGGGGCTTCTCAAGGATTAGTTTGTGCATGATAAATCATGGCATTTTTTTTGTCATTTTTTTTTAATGTGGGAGTTAAATTTCTTCCAAATTTCTCAAAACTCTGAAGTGATGATGTCTTTTGGGGAAAGACTTCTAGTTGAATCTAATCTCACAACATTTTTCCCTGCAATTTTTTATAGTTGACAACTCATTTTCAAATACATAATTGTGTAATACTTTAACATGTTTACTTCATTTATCATATTAATTATATATTTTGCACAGAATCTGCAGATCTCTGTAACTCTCTTTAACTGAGGTTTTATAATTATGATTCTGAATTCAGTTTAACAGCTTCAACATTTTTTGGCACTAGAAACCATCAAAAGCCATTTTATGACTCTCCAGTCATTAAAACCATAATATTACTGAAGCAAAGGAAAGAATTCTGCCTGCTACCTCGGGATAATGGTACCATTATGCTGGAAATTAATGGAGTAAGGATAAAGGCCAAACACAACATGGCTTGGGTGTTCTCTTTGACCCTGTGATCATTTAGCACTAGACTGGGAGCCCAGTCCAGCAATCAACTTTGACTTTCCAAAGCACTCAGGAAAGTATTTATATCCGCTTTCCTAAGCAACATGATTTAGGGTATTAGTTAAAAAAAAAAAAAATCTTATGATTTCTTTCTGCCATTGTCATAACCTCCTCTGATTTGGGGATGAACAGCATAAAGAAAATATTTTAAATTTTTAAATAAATAAGTACAAATTTTAAAAGAAAAAATCATATTGATTTTTTTTTTGCTTTTTTTTTTTTTTTAATCTTGGCACAGAGCAAGCGGGAAGTTACTTAGCACGGTTCCGGGTTTCCTCACGCCCCGCCCGCACTCTACCACAGCTATAAGCTCTTGGTCCCTTGATCGGTCTATCCTGAGGTAAGCAACCCCAGTCCACCGGTCCCCTCAGGGCCCGCCCGCCGCGCATCTGCCCTTCTCTTGACTCCGCCCTGCATCTGTCCGGACCCGCCTCGCGTCTGAGCTGACCCTCTCTACGCGTCTGTGAGTCAGTCCCTCCGGACCTGCCACGAGCTTCAAGCTTCTGAAATCACCGCGCCTCACTCGGTCCGTACCCAGTGGGCATCTTGGGTATCTGGGCGGTCTCCGGTTCCCCGCGCGTTTGTCTGTCTGTCTGTCTTTCTGTCTGATTCGGTGTCAGCAGCTTGTCTGCTGATCCCAACGCACCAAGTGTCTAGTATGCCCTTTCGCTGACGCTGAGTGCAGAGCGGCCTTAGTAAGCTGCTAGCCTGCCTGAAACCTCGGCCAGCTAGGCAGCGGCGGAGGAATACACACTCGGCCCCTGCCCTTGTTGATAGCATTTTAAACCAACAGGAGCTCGAGGCCTATATTTATACAGAAAACCGGTCTCAAGGCCTCTGTTGGCAATGCTAGATGTGGGGAACCAGCCAGCTGCTTGGTGATTTCTTAAAATTTAAAGGGGAAAGAGAATTTTCGTTACTAATACTGGCTTTTGAAACTGATTTTAAATCTGCACGGGTGAAAAATTTAAGTCCCCTCAGGGAGAACAGATTCGTTATTGGGGTGCCTTTTTGTCTGATGCGTTTGTTCTGAGCCTGCTGACCAGCTGTTTCTGAACTTCATTTTCTCAGCCTCAGCCTCAACAGTGATTGAGTCTGCTTTTAGCTTGCCTTCGCCTGCCTTGGGTTATTCTGTTCGTGAGCAGCTGTTTGGCCCATAGTTTAGAGAAAACAGCCTTTTTTTTTTCTTTCCCAAGAGAGCCTCCTCTCTATGCTAAGAGAGATGGGGAGCGGGGAGCCTAATCCTGCTGGCAAGAAAAAGAAGTACCTCAAGGCCGCCCTGTACGTGGGTGATTTGGACCCTGATGTCACTGAGGACATGCTCTATAAGAAGTTCAGGCCCGCTGGCCCTCTGCGTTTCACCCGAATCTGCCGTGACCCAGTGACCCGCAGCCCCCTGGGCTATGGCTATGTTAACTTCCGCTTTCCAGCGGATGCTGAATGGGCCCTGAACACCATGAATTTTGATTTGATTAATGGCAAACCATTCCGCCTCATGTGGTCACAGCCAGATGACCGCTTAAGAAAGTCTGGTGTTGGAAATATATTCATCAAAAACCTGGATAAATCAATTGACAATAGGGCCCTGTTCTATTTGTTTTCAGCTTTTGGGAACATTCTCTCCTGCAAAGTTGTATGTGATGACAATGGCTCTAAGGGTTATGCCTATGTGCATTTTGACAGCCTGGCCGCTGCCAATAGGGCCATCTGGCACATGAATGGAGTTCGGCTGAACAATCGCCAGGTATACGTTGGTAGATTCAAATTCCCAGAAGAGCGTGCAGCTGAAGTCAGAACCAGGGATAGAGCAACATTCACTAATGTTTTTGTTAAAAACTTTGGAGATGACATGGATGACGAAAAACTGAAGGAACTTTTCAGTGAATATGGGCCAACTGAGAGTGTAAAGGTAATAAGAGATGCCAGTGGGAAATCTAAAGGCTTTGGGTTTGTAAGGTATGAGACACACGAGGCTGCCCAAAAGGCTGTGCTAGACCTGCATGGAAAGTCAATTGATGGGAAAGTCCTGTATGTAGGGCGAGCACAGAAGAAAATTGAACGCCTAGCTGAGTTAAGGCGGAGATTTGAACGGCTAAGATTAAAAGAAAAAAGTCGACCTCCGGGGGTGCCTATCTATATTAAAAACCTGGATGAGACCATCGATGATGAAAAACTGAAGGAGGAATTTTCTTCATTTGGATCAATTAGCAGAGCCAAAGTGATGATGGAAGTAGGGCAAGGCAAAGGTTTTGGTGTTGTTTGCTTTTCTTCTTTTGAAGAGGCTACCAAAGCAGTGGATGAGATGAATGGTCGAGTAGTGGGCTCCAAGCCCCTGCATGTCACCCTGGGCCAGGCCAGGCGCAGGTGGTGAGAATCAGAATTTCAATTTGTTTCAGCCTTAGCTGGTGCCTAGTTCAGGCTCCTTTGTGATAAGGGGTTATTTTATGCCAATTCACAGTTGTTGTTGTTGTTTTTTAAGTGAATACTTTCTTTTGAAAACAAAGTGAAACTAGAAAGACTTGTTCATTTTAGTGAACATAATTTCTAATTGTAAAATTGTCCTTTTATACAATTTTTGATATAATATCCTTAGTGATATGTAGAATAAAATTTATTCCACATTTTTCCTGAACAGCCAAGGTGAGGCAGTTGATTGAGTATATTTCCTTTTTTAATTCAATAATACTTCATTTAATTTCTTCCATAAAAATGTTCTTGGCATTGTCCTTACTTTTGAGTCCATCACAGTGAAAACTTCTAACTTGCTGTTTGAGAAATCAGCAGAGCAGGGGAAAATGTTTATTGGAAAATGATCCAATAAACATATACATAATTTCACTTAAATCATTATTTAATATGAATATTCTTTTAGAAAGATGTGAGATTTCTCTTTTCTTCCCTTATTTATTTGTATTTTTCCCTTTTAAATATATTGTGACTATATTGCAGAATTGGTAGTGGCTTTAAGTAGTGTTGGGAGTTCTGTATTAACTTCATGCCCTGTTTTCACAATAAGTACCTTTGGAAATTAACATTTTATGTAGTGGCTATTTAAATTATGATTTGCATCTTATATACCTTTCAAGGAATATTTGATATTCCAGGACGCTGTAAGGACCACTCTTATATTTCTAAATTCCTTAGTTCATACATAGGTAATGTTAAATTAAAAAGATGAATAACTACACTAAATTGCCTTTATCCATAGATAATTTAATATTTTATCTTCATCTTTTATCAAGTGTCAATGTTAATATTAAATAATGTATAGAATTATGTTGAAAACTACTTTAAAGATCATATATTAAGCATATTATTATCCCTTGTAAATTCTTGAATGTATCCATATGATAACAAACACAGAAGTTTCAAAGTTATGGAACAGGTTGTCTCTTGGTTTCCGTCCATTGTGAGAACCTTTAACTTGACACAGTTGTGTTTATGTCTGTGGCTGCTTGGAAATTCAGAAAAAATAATGTTTCTGTTTGATACTGATGTTACTTATGTCAGTCAACTTCTAGATTGCAAATTCTCCACATTTCACTTGCAGTTCCCTCTTCTCGTTGTCTGCCTCCCATCCATATTGCATTTATATCGTTTTCATTGCCTTTCTTATGCATACCAGTTCAAATCCATTTGAGAAGGAGATAAATACCTAATTTATGTAAAATTTAAATAACTGATTTTATATAATCTGATTCACTTCTACCACATATTCAAACACAAGAAAATGCTTTGTTTATATTGTTATTTGGTTCTTATTTCATTATATATAAATCTTCATTTTCATACATACTACAACATAAATATATAATTTTATTAACACTTGTTAACCTTTTGAACTATAAAATAATGAGAAAAAACTGTTTCGGTTTACCTACAAATTTAATGTGATTTATGACCAGGTATTTTCAAAATAAAAATCACTGTTTTTTAATTATAAACATAATATTTGATCATTATAAAAATGTACACAGTGCAAAAGAAGGTAGTAAAATAATCACAATTTGGAGATAACCACTATTAATATTTTTAGTATGTGCATATCTGTCATATCTTTTTTCCTATGTAAGGTCATGTGTTTTTTACTTAAAACACTTACTACTTATATTGTTTTTAATTATAAACTGAACCATAATCATATTTTCATGGCAATAAAGATCAATTTATATTAATTTAGTGATTGCATAGTATTCCATTGTGTGGATATACTATAATGTATATAAAAGGTTGCTGTTAAAAAAGGTTTATATGTTTTCAATATTTTTTTACATTTATAAACAATACCATGATGAACATCTCTTTCTTAAAAACATTGTGAATTATATGTGTTCAGAGAAAAAAGTATCTCCATGATGTAAAAGATTATATCTGCTAGCAAATTAAAATGCACATCTTATATATATATCTAACACAATTTAGGAAAAACTTTAATATATAATCTGCACTTAAATTGACAAGTGGAAATCTATAGAACAGGAGACAGTTTTCTCATATGTTACGAATCTAGTTGCTTTACATTATTGTGTTCATTTTGACATATCAAATAAAATTTTAAATAGTTACATTGGTAATTATCACATATACTCTCTGTTTCTTTATATATAGTACCAGTTTTTATTTAAACTTATAAACGTAAAATATCAGTGTTAGCTTCCATGTTTTACAAATGTTTTGATTCAATATAAATCTAGAAAGATGTCTACAAAGTGAAAATGATCAAGAATAAGTATTTAATGCAAATTTTGGGGATTATGTATTTAAATTATTTCTATTTTTCAAAGGTCAGACTGTATTAACAAAAAACAGGAGAAATTAAAATATGCCAAAGTCCTGGTAAAATCCTTGTGTTTATGTCCCTGCCAAACATTTGAATAAACTCTGTAAATTCCCTTGGTGAAAATCAGAGGGAAAATATAAATGACATTTAATCTTCATAATTTTTCAATCTTGTGTGTTTTATTTTTGCTGAAATTTCATAGACTATAAATAATTATGCCAAGATTTAAAAAGAAATTTATTGTTTATCTTTTTCTAGTACATTTAGTAAAACTATACTGTGAATGTTTAGGTTATGAATGGACTGTATAATATGAGTTTTATTTTGCTTATATTTTTAAAACAGTCACCTGTACAAACTTTAAATAGCTCCATAGAGAAGAAAAGTAAGAATATTGTGATTTAAAACCTTCATCATCAAGGTTATTTGGGGGGAGGATCTTATGTACATGAAGTTTCACACATACTGGTCCTAATGTAATATCCATGATTGAGGGGAAAAAAGTGTTATATGTGTAAGTGATATTTTTAGTACAGTGTAAAAAGGCAAGAATACATATTTCTTTAAGGAGAAACTTGGAAATGGAAAAAAATACTATGTTCCTTGTAAATAAATGACATAATTTAAGGTCATTTATTTTAATAAGTAATGATAAATATATCAATAAATGACTGAAGATAGGTAATAGAAATGTTCCCAGTACCTATAAAAATACTTGAAATGTAGTAGGAATTTCACACATACTTGTTGAGTGAATGCATTCATAATGTAAATTATATTCCTCCAGATGTTAGCTTCCTAATTTTCATTTTAATATGTATCAAAGTAAATGTGTTATTATACAATATGTGATATTATTAAATATCCTATGAAAAACTAGTTCAGAACTGATTGGTCACATAGACTGGTGCTTATGCATAAGGTCTTGGCTATGTGGACTCATTTATATGATGTTAATGTTTTACTAATGCATTCATTCTCATGTTATTTTTTTGTTTTTCATTTTTGTCCAATTCTTGGTCGATTTGCCTGTCTGAAACACAAAATTTCTAGTAATTGTCATAGCTTAAATAAAAGTTTATATATGGAGTAACACTTTTTTAAACTTTTTATTTTTTTATTTGAACACTTATTTAAAATTTAATGGTATGCTGCTTCAAGACCAATATTATTCTGCACAATCTTGCTACTATGTTGAACAATATGACCACAATTATCCCTGAAATACTAGTGTTTGCTCATCTGTAATGGATTCTTATACATTTCTGGATGCTTTTTATTGACCCTGAAATGTAACCTAACAAATGGTTCCTTGGAGCCTCAAGAGGATTAATCCATCCCTAGTGGCTCCAAGGGATCATAGTATTTATAAATAATGTGGCCACCATTGGAAATTTGAGGAAACAAAAGCCTAACTAGCTAAAAGTACTAATACTAAATATATAATTCTTATTAATTTCAAGTACTTTCACCCTCAAAAGGTCACAGTCAATTTTTAAATAGCTATTAGTTGGCACACACAAAAAAAGAGTCTTCTCACTAAATTTCTCATCAACAATTTGGGGTCTTCACAGTTTATTTCATTTTTTAAAAAAGGTATTCAAAGAGTTTTAGGGAAAATATAGGAAAAGGGGGATGTGTGCTGATATTGTATAGTACAACTTTTACAGTCATCAGAGTCAATTTTTTCTTTGGTTTAGAATTAATCAATAAGTGAAACACGAGATGTTGAGACCATTGAATTTAAAATAAGCATTCTATACTGTTAAATAAATAATTTTATATTGTTTGGGGATTCATTTATAACATCTAGAAGGGTAAACTATGTTTTTGAAAGATCAAGGAGTTTATATATCTATCTGTGGGGCTATTTAAAAGAAATTTTAAGCTAATTTACACAAACTGTTTTTTTAGGTCGTGTGTCTGAGAAATTTGGGCAATCTAAATACATGATATGAAAAAAATACAGAGAGTAAATTGCATGCTATTCTTTTCAGTATTTCAGAATTCCTAAGCCATGTCAATATGTGGTTTTATTGCACAAAAATTTGTTCTTGAATAAGGGAATGAATACCTTACTGTACTCTTTTTGACAGAGGGTGGTTTTATTACATTATGATGCGGACATTAACCAAGCAGTGCAATTTAAGACGAAATTGTTTCCTAAAGAGAGAAAGAAAAAAAGTAGAAAACAAAATTTTGTTTGCTTTTTCATTATAGAAATGCAAATGTGGGATATTTGTAAATCAACTCACCAATAACTGAGAGAAGGGGTATAGAAAAATAGTAATGTACATGTTAGAAATGTAAATGAATACTGTAAACCATTAAAATTCTGCCTAGTATGATATTGCTTTAAGGTGAAGCATCACAGTTTGTATTCAATTTGTAATCTTATCATTGATATGACTACTACAGTGATATTAGACCTCAGGAGTATTTCCATTGTAAGTGAGTTTTCTTAAAGAATTATTGATGCTAATCAACACCCCTCTACTTTCTTACCTCCATTCAAACTGAACCCCACCCTTGCAAATACTCAAGATTATGTAGGGTATTCCTGGTTTATGTAATTTGTCTAAACATCAATTCCAAAATTTATTTGTAGCTATTAGATATGCATGTTTGTGACACTGTGCAAATTTGTTAAGAAAAAATTTTCAGAATTTGCATGTTAAGCCACAGTAGATGGTGGAAAACTTTTCTACTGTTTCTATATGAATGAATGTATTTAACTGAAGATACACTTTTTCAAAGAATGTACATTTCACAATGATGCTAATTAAAGCAACAACAAAGCTATGGGGTCTGGAATTGTGGTTTCATATAATGATCTAGAACATTTGAATTCCAAAGACTGCATAGTACAACTAGAAATATATAGTTTAATGTGGGATAAGTTTTGAGGCCTGAAAACATATTCCTACCATATTAAGAGATATTGGTAAGAGAAACTGCTCAACTTTTCTCAAGTTGCAATATAGGTGATACAATTATCTATATGCAGGCTTTATTTTCTGAAGACATACAACAGTAAAGGAAAAAATTTTAGGCAGATAAAAAAATACAGAGGAAGATACAGTCTTTTGAAACTTTTATTATATATTGTTGCAAGTGAAGAAAACCATGAGAGAGTGAATAACATGTATGAGCCAGGTATGCCTTTTACTGGAGTATCCAAAAGAAAAACAATTTTACTTTAGACAGAATAATTTTCTCAGACAATTGGATCACTTTGTCTATATTTATCTTTAGTTTGTTTTATATATATATATATATATATACACACAAATATATCTCCTTAAAATATTACAAAATGATATATAAACAGGCAAACAGTACCACAAATTTTTATCAGAGAAGTTTTGAACATAAAGATCATTTAAAGCTGAGTTTTTTATTAAATATTTATTTTTAAATCATATTTGGACACAATACCTTTATTTATTTATTTATTTAATATTTATTTTTTTAGTTGCAGTTGACCCAATAAGTTTTATTTAACTATCAATTTATTTATTTTTAATATGGTGCTGAAGAACAAACCCAGGGCCTTGCATGTGCTAGGCTAGTGATCTACTCCTGAGCCACAACCCCAGCCCTTATTTACTTATTTTTATGTAGTGCTGAGGATACAATGCAGGGCCTTGCATATGCTAGGCGAGCACTGTACCTGTGAGTCATAATCCCAGCCCCTAAAGCTCAATTTTTGATATAAATAATTGCTTGCATAAAATTTATCCTGGAATTTGAGACCAAGAACCTGGGGATATGAAAATTGTTTCAGTTGATATTTTGGTCATATGTTTTTAGACTATTGCTATCTTTGCCTGGTAGATGTGCAAAGGCAAATTTATCATTCAGTTTTCTGAATTAAATTGAAAACGTTATTAAATACATGAAGTAGTATGGAATCTCTTCCTGAAAATCAAAATTACACCTTTGTGAATGATTAACACTGTAGTAGATGACCTAAATGATCATTAAGAATATATTATTAAGAGACCCTGGGCTGGGGATGTGGCTCAAGCGGTAGCACCCTCGCCTGGCGTGTGCACAGCCTGGGTTCGACCCTCAGCACCACATACAAACAAAGATGTTGTGTCCGCTGAAAAACAAACAAAAAATAAATATTAAAAATTCTCTCTCTCTCTCTCTCTCTCTCTCTCTCTTAAAAAAAAAAAAGATACCTATAGTGGAGCATGCCTGTAGTCCCAGTGACTCCAGACTGAGGAGGAGGCTTGTGAGTTCAAATCCAGCCTTTGCAACTTAGTGAGGCCCTAGTTAACTCAGTGAGACACTGTATCTAAAAGTAATGAATGAATTAATTAAAAGGGCTAGGGATATGGTTCAGTGGTTAAGCATCTTGAGTTCAATATCCAGTACAAAAAAAAAAAAAACAAAAAACTGAATCTACTATTTAAAAACAGAAAAGATTCAGAGATTCAGGCTGGGATTGAGGCTCAGTGGTTGAGTGCTCTCCTAGCATGTGCAAGGGTGGCCCTGTGTTCAAACCTCGGCACCATGTCAAAATAAATAAATAAAATAAATGTATTATGTCCAAGTACAACTAAAAAATAAATATTAAAAAAAGACAAGAAAAGATTCAAATAAAATTTAATACATGTGTTCTGAAATGCAAATAAATGAATTTTACAGTGAAAAAATGAAGGTTATGATTCTGTTAATACATTCTCCCCAGTGGGGGACTTCTCACAAAATTTGTACAAGTAATGATTGGATACAAAATGGTAAAAAAAAAAAAAAGCTGCAAAAATTATTCACAACTGTGAGAGGAATGCTATGTGTCTCTGTTATACCATCTGTGTTGGCCCAAAGGACAAAGAGAATGTAGGAAAAAGTAAACATTTTGCCCTTAAAAATATGAACTTGTAGCACCTCCTTGAAACATCATTAAAGAGCATCAGTGTTTAATGTTTGAAATTGTCACTGAAGATGCATTATTTCTTTTTTAATCCTATAAATACTTCTCAAAACCTCCAAGAAATCTTAGAATTATAAGGTATTCCATCAATAATTTCTAATTTCTCATAATAATGACTAAAAATGTCCTAAAGTGTTTTGATTTTTAAGAGATCCTTTGTTTTATTACTTATACTCAGATTTCCCCACATTGCTCAAAGAATATTGGCAAATTCCTCAATTACTATGACACAAATAGTAGATAATACTTATTAAAATTCAAGATTTGCATGGCAGCTGGTGTGAAAAAGAGTGGTAATTATAGTAAAGTTAAAATGTTTGTGTTTGTAGGGAAATTGGATGGATATATAAATAAATGGATAGATGGATGGGTTGACAGATACATATATACATATATAAATGATAAATCTTGATAAAGTAAGAATAAAAAGATACTTAAGAACAAACTCACAGAACACAGGAATAACAATATATCCTTTATCATATAGGCTCAAATTAGTATTACTGGCTTTGGTTCCAAAGTAAGGTTGTGCTCTAATAAAGGTAATTGGAGAAGGGATGACTGGCTGAAAGAGCCAAAGGTAAATGTCAGACCTGTGGCAATTCACTCTGGAGAGATCTTAAAATGATATTTATGTATGCTAGTGGGGAAGCTTGGTTTACATTATAATTATGTACCTCATAACAATGTTTCATTAAATGACAGATGGCATATATAAAAGTAATCCAAAAGGATTGCATCACCTTGTGATTTTGTAGCAGTCCTACTTTGTGTAAGCACTCTCTATGATGTTCATATATACTTGAAATTAATAAGGAAACACTGTCTAGAATATATCACTGTTGTTAAGCTATATATGACTCTAGTAAAAAGATAGCACTGAAACCTACTCAGTGAAAGTCACAATTCTGTGTTTCCCAAAAATTGATTCAAGGTGTATCAGAATCATTTGGTGGTTTTGTTAAAACAGATTCCTAGAATTCAATCTTGACTTACTGAATCAAAATGAATCTAGCAGTGGTGATGGTGGTGTTGCATTAGCTGCTCAGCTCAGGCAGCCAGGAAGCAGAAAGGGACAGTTCCAGGGACGAAACATAAATTTCCAAAGCATGCCTCCAGTGACCTACTCCCCCCAGCTATACCATACCTGCTTACAGTTATCACCGAGAATAGTAATCCTTTCAAATTACTGATCCATCAAGTGGATTAATACAATGATTGGGTTAAAACTCTCATAATCTAATCATTCACACCTTAACATTCCTAACCTCTCTCAAACATGAACTTTTGAGGGAAGCCTCATATTCATAGCATAATGGGTAAAGAAAACATCTACATTTTTCTCATAGCCACCAGGAGATTCTTATGCACACTTAAAATATCCAGAAGAGAGATCTGCAAATATTTTCTGGTAAAGGACAAGATAGCATATATTTCAGCCTTCCTGGTCAAGAGAAAACATCAAGTATATTATATAGGCATTTACATATCAATTAATCTATCAATCAATAAAATAAAATTTAAAAACTCCAAATATTTTAAAGTTGATAAATTCAAAATAGAGTGGTGACAATGTCAATAAAAGAGTAATGCAGTTAGTAGTACAGTTCTATTTTGAGGGATTACATTTTACTTACTTAGGGTTCAACTCTCAGATCTCTTATAAATGTATTCAATTATAAATATTTTTTAGCTTGTGCCTGTACAAAACAAGAGGCAGTCAAGATTTGGCTTTCAACTTCTAGTTTTCTAAATCCTAATCTATAAACACTGCTCTAGAGGATCACCTTACTCTGTTCCTGCTGCTATAAGAAAATGATATAGACTGGATAGTTATGAAAAATGTAAAATTATTCTTTACAGTTTTTAAGGCTAGGAAGCCTAAAATCAAGATTATGGCAGAACAAGCATTTCATGAGAATGATCCTCACAGGCTCTGCCTCCACCCTTCCTTGGGCCTCTTTCATAAAGGTATTAATCCCATTCATGAAGGTCCCACCTTCATGATCTAATCACCTGTTAAAAGGCCTTTACTCTCAAAACTTTCACTTTGAGAGTTAAGATTTTTACATGAATTTTGGTGGGACATAAAGCAAGTAAAAATGTAGAACTTCTTTAATAAAAAAATCAACTATTTTAAAACATTATTTTATACATCACATGATAGCTGAACTTATTATGTCTTCACCCTTAAAACCTGTTCCTCTTTGTATCTTTTTTTTTTATTTGAGTAAATATCAGCTAATTTCTTGGAGTTCATAGGCCAGAAATCTTGGAGTTACTCTTGTTTTCTTTCTTTGTCTCATGCCCCACATTCAATATGTCAGGAAATCATGATGACTAAGTCTTCAAATACATTCAGAATCTTAAAACTTACTAGCAACTTTGTTTCCAGTATCTCAGTCTATATGTTTTTAAAATTATTACTAGAAAATACCCCAAAGCTGGATAAATTTGGCATGTGCAAGTGTAAGCGTGAAAGGCTATTTCAAAACAACAAAAAATAAAGTTAATAGTAAAACCATTGCAGAATTAGCAAGGAGCCCAAAAATAATGAAGCAAGTCATACATTTGGTGACTTTAAAAATAGACAGTTTAATTAATTGAATAGTTTTAGAACTCATTCCCTTCCAATTTAATATTAAATTTGTTTTTTTTTTTTCAGTTAGCCTAATCATTTAAAAACTGAATCAATATTCTAAGCACAGGACCAAGACAAAAATGTTGCTATCATGTACCAACTGTCTTAGACAGTTCTGTAAGCCATAAATAAATAGATAAATGCATATATCCAGAAATTAATAAAAGGTAAAATGATTATAATGAAACAAAGCTATTATTTAGGGATGGGTTGAAG